GGGGGCAGGAGCCAAGAAAGAGGTGAGGGTCAAAGGCAGGAGATCCCGGGGGTGGGGTGGGGAATGGCCACTTGCAAAGCCAGGGCCTTCACCGGCCGGGGCCAACCCGGAAGCTGCCGCCGCGGCACTCCCTGTTCCGGGGGAGAGGGAGGGAGGCTACGAACCAGGCCGGAGGACACCCCCCCCGCCCCGAGAGTGGCAGCGTGGCAGGCGGGGCACTCACTGGCATAGAGGGCGTGGCTCCCCTCCCCCTCGCTGCTCTGGCGGAAGCTGGCCAGGCCGTAGTCGGTGATCTTGAGCACAAAGCGGCTGTCCACCACGCAGTTGGAGGACTTGAGGCCCCCGTGGTGCCCGATGATGCTGCCGTGCAGGAACGCCATGCCCTGTGCCAGACAGAGGAGGAGGAGGAGAGGAGAGGCGGCTGAGGAGGCCCTCGGGAGCAGGGGGGGGAGGCCCACGTGCCAGCTGCTGCCAGGCGGAGAGCTGGTAGCCAAAAGGGAAACCCGAAAAGGCCACAGCGGTGGTGGCCCCTGGGGCCGCCCAGCAAAGGAAGGACCGGCTGGGGACTGACGCCTCCTGCTCAGCCTGGGGACCGAGGATCCCATGAGAACATCCAGGGAGGGCCCCCTCAGGAGCCAGGAGAGGCCCGCAGGGGTGGTCGGGGAGGGGGGCCGTCCTCTGGCTTTCCTGGACTCGGACGCCCATCGCCAGTTTCCACGTGACCTCAGGACACACGTGGGCCCTCGACCAAGGCCCTCCTCCCCCCTCCCTCACCTTGACAAGGTCGTTGATGAGAGAGTAGCGGAACATCCAGTCCAGGTTGATGCTCTCGTTCTCCAGAATGTCCTGGGGGGGGAGGGGGGACATGCGTGACCACACAGCCCTGCCCCAGGCGGAGGGGGGCCCATCCCCGAACAGGGGGGGGAGAGGGCCCTGGCCCCGGCATCCACCCCCACGCCCGCTCCCAATCCCCCTCCCGCATCCATGGTGGGGGGTGAGTTGCCCGGGGACCCCCCTCTGGCAGCCCCTTCCGCACCTGTAAGCTGCCCCGGGGGCAGTACTCGGTCACGATGCAGATGTTGGGGGGGTCGATGCAGGCCCCGATGAACCGTGTCAGGTGGTTGAACTGGATGTCTCGCATCTGCAGCCGGGCAGAATCAGAGCCCCTCTCAGTTCTGCCAAGCCAGTCGGGCAAGCCCTTCTGTGACAGCCCCGTGAGTGACTGGCGTGGGGGGTGGGGAGGGCAAAGCTGGCATCAAGCTGGGATGCAGAGGAAGCAGCAGGGCGTGGAGCGGCCCCCCCCCAGGCCCCAAGAAGGTGCTCCTGGGTTCATCCCCCCCCCTTGGCGCCCCCC